ATGGTAAACAGAATGTCCCAAAGACCCAGGACATGTGTCTTTGCACTGACTACCAGTCAGCCAGACACCTGAATGTTACGACAAACCTCATAATGACATGGGGTCGGATTCAAGGCTAAATCTGGGTTCCCAGAGTGCAGAGTCTGGGTTGCAAATGCTTCCTTGTACAAAACAGCCTTTTCATTTTCGAAATCAATGAAAGTTCCATCTGTGTCTTTATATCCTGCATAAATAAAGACACTTGTTAGAGATGCACTGCTTAACGGGCAAGTAGCCGCAGCACAAAATCTCTTATGAGAAACATCCTAGATGATCTCCAACAGACACCAAAAAAGCAGTGGATGCATTGTGCTTGCAGGTCGGCAGTGGCAATCTTTAGCACTACGCCCATACCTGTGTGTGTACATGATTCGATTTCTACAGCCACATCTCTATTAGTACCATTTTAACTAGCAGAACGTTTGAACTAGCACAGTGTTTTTTGTGCTGTGGGATTCAATTGTCTCAATGGATCTGTTCTTACAGGACAGTTAACTGGCATGATTTTGACCTGAACTCTCCCATCCAGAGCCCATGTACATTTCAGGAGTTATTCTGGGGCTGGGGTTCCTCCTAGCAGAACTTATTATTATGGATGTGGGTCACCTCTGATGACTAGATGATCCTGGACACTATTTACCAGAACATTTGCCATTTAAGTTTAAAGTTTGCCATTTAAAAATTCAACTTCAATGCTTTAATTTTAGACAGTTGAGGCCCTGAAGTTTGTTACTCAAGAGTTTCTGCAGTGCTTGATTCTCTGATTACAGACTGGTGCTGCAGAAACACACTCACGCAGCTGAAGGCACTGGTAAGAAAATCCTTCTATGGCAAGGTACTCTGAACCTAGCCAAAATATCCAGGAGCTAAACATTACTAAACTAATAATTGCAATTGACTGAGAAATGATCCTTTTCTCTAACAGAAAACTGCAAAGCAAAACATACCTAATTGGAAGCGACAGACTATGGGAGCAGAGGAAGAAAGCAGAAAGATTGCTTTGTTAATATCTTGTCCTAGAATAGGTCAAACCCCTTGTGGCATTTATAGACTATTTTCTGCACAGTTAATTGAACAAAATGTCTAAGCTGATCTTTCCCTTATGGAGAAAAAATCATTATGCTCCATATAAATGAAAGAAGGAATGACTGAGCAGCAGCTATTATATGGCCTTGATTTTTCTTAAATTGCCAAGTACAAAGCACATAGAGGCATAATACCATTTTTGAAGAAGTTGTGCCTGTGCTTTTTTTTACAGGTACAGACAATTATCCTAACAAGTGAGAAAATCTGGGGACTGAAGGAAAGACTGCATCCTCAGATGCAGTTCAGGCAAAACGCAAAGAACGAATTGATGGAGTCAAGAACATGAGAGCCAGTTCCCAATGTCAAAGAGTTATGTATGCTCTCTTGGTCAGGAGACTGGGCTTTGTTTTTAAAAGCTGTGCTTCCACAAGACCAAACAAAAGGGAATACAAGCTGCTCACAGCCACTTCCACCAGACTTAAACCTGTGATGCAAGAATATACACCCATCTCAGAGTGATCCCCGGAGCAGCACATCCACTCAGCTGGAGTGTGTATCAATGAACTGTAAAAGGAGTTGGACTAAAGACCCAGCTGTGGCTCAAATTAGCTCTGAAGATACTCAGATTCACTGTTTTGGCTAAGCTGGGAGATGATGAATTGGAAACCACAGTGATGCTAGAAGGGGGCAGGAGGTCTCCAGTCAACAGGCTGTGCTTGCTCTGAAGGACTGAGAGGCAGACAAGCACAGGAGTCCTATCATAACAAAAGCACTTTTCTTTAGTGAACGTAAAGCACTGAAATATCACTATGAAGAATCACAGGAGACACATTCATTTAAAATATCTATTGAAATTACAAATTAAACTCTTCAATATGATTCAAAGTACAAAACACAACATTAAAAGGCATTCAACAGCTCTTTTATACATCACAGTGTTAGTGGCACAAAATGTACTTACATTTCAAATACATCAACAGAACTAGTTTTACACTGGTCAGATACATTATCTATACATATGCATGACTCCTTCATGCTTATACCTATACAAGTTTAAAATACATCCATGACAAAATGATCAAGAAAGGTTCAGTTATGTACCACACACCTGTACCTAATGTTCCTGGAATCCTTATAAGAGATACACAAATCAAAGCAATAATGGAGACCACAGGGCTATAAACAAACAGCATGCCTTACTCAGTATAAGTGCATTAGCAATTAAGCGCTGATGCAGGCTTTTTTGATGTCTTTAATATCACTGTCATCAACAACTGTATTCTAGCTGTTCTCCTCAGGATTTTAGATTATGTGAAATGTACAAACTTTGGTTTAAAAAAAAAAAAACAACCAACCCTGCACAAAGCTTTATGCATGCTGTACCTCACTGGGATGAAAACAGCCTGTATTAGATATATTAATTCCTACACAGTAAAAGGCCTACAGATGAAATGCACAAAACTTCATTTTTATTTTCCTGCCCATAACAACTTTAAATCAAAAGCACTTCATCTTTTTCTATCTATGAATATTTTATCATGTCAGCTCCATAAACGAGAGCTTTTCACTACTTCTGATTGTGTTTCCTGCATGTCAGAAGATCAACAGTATGCTGGAAGTTGATCCAGTCAGCAAAATCCCATTTGGGATTTTGCCTAATTCACAAGCCAGAGTATTTGAGGAAAGATCATGCTGCTTGGTATGTGGGGGAAAGCATCCTAAACTCTTGGCATGCTGAAGTCAGTAGTAGGAGGTTTCAGGATGAATGCCAACATGAATAAAATTGAAATATTAACATAAAACTGCAGTAAGAATTTATATATAATCTTTCATCACAGAATCTTGAAGACACTCAAAACCAATGAATTTGCCCTCACAGCCTTCCTGTGAGGTAGGCAAACACTGACCCATCCATTTAAAAGACAGTTAAACTGAGATAAAAGGAGGTAAGTGACTTGTCCAATGTCGCATGGGGAAAACTCAATGCTACGGCCACTGAAGTTTGTGCAGGCTGTGCCACTGATCTCTCTCAGGTCTGACTTCAGCCCAGCTAATGAAAGGCAACTCTGGAGCCTGGACTCTACACTTGGGCACTAGATATGACACTGCTTCACCCCAACAGAACATGCAAACTATGTACTATTACGAACTCCATTAAAAACAACATTTAAGAAATGCAAAAAATCTAAATAACAGTTTAACCATAAAACCGCAACAGAATCATGCAGTGAATCTTATTTTTCCAGTGAAAATCTAAAAAGCCAAAGCTGATGTAACAGGATTTCATGTGAAAAGAAGCAGAGACATACATTCGCTTTTCCATGGCAGGGGTTTAAATGTCAGAGTTTAAGTATTTACAGTTCAGTTTCAGGGTATTAAATGTCACACTATCAACATAAGCTGCAACATAAAACCAGCCTGAACTCAATACTTATCACCACCAGAAGTTGCTACTTCAGAAACAAATCAGCATTACAAAAGTAACATAATAAAACAAAATCCCCGAGAAGAATACAGATGGAATGACATTTAGGAAACCTGAAATTATTAGGTATTTGGTAAATATATATAGGCATATAGTCTATCCCAACAGCCAGGGTGTGAAACAAGTGATATGTCATAAAAATCTCCAGTAGCAATTCAAGTATATTGAGCTCAGAGACAGAGATATACTGACAGAATTACATAGTTTTCTGATTATATATGTTACTTGTGAGCACTGATTATAAACTGTTATTTAAAAACATCTGTATTTGTAAAGGACTTTTTTTTTCTTTTTTAAATCTAGAAATGCATTAATTTTGACATTGATTATTAACTGGCCACAGAGTACCATGGAAAACTCAAGTTTTGCTGTATTGCCATGTAAAGGCTGTCTCTAAGAAAGGCACAGAGAAAATAAACCTCATACCAGGACACTCCAGTACAGCCACTGTGCCTCTGAGGTTTACTATCATCCCAGTAGTAGAAGCAGTCATTAGAACCACCACCACATACAGGCAAATCCCTTGGTGCTCCCAATTAGAAAACCAACAACCCATGAAATTTTTATGTCCTGTTGCCCATTTTGTTTTTCTCCAGTTAAACAGAATTACAGGGCCAAGGCTGAAAGGCCATAGTTGAAGCTGACCTGCAGGAAGCTGTCCTTTGCAGAAGGGTTTCCATTATTTCTGCACATTGAAGCTATGACTCAGGACAACCCAGGTGCTCAGCATGGACTGAGGTGCTGCCAGAGTCAGATAACCACTTCACTGCCCACTGACCTCAGCAGTGCTTCACACACTCCTCTGGGGCTGACAAACAGTGATAGAATGCACTACCCAGACTTCCTACAGACATTTTGAGCAACTGAGCAATTCTTAATAGCAAAGATAGCTAAAATACTAAAACCACCCTGATAACAAAAGGCCTGAACTGTGCATTGCCATGAACAATCTGAAGATATCACAAGGAGTTCAGACTTGCTGGAAACCAGCTATCCTTTTTCTTCAGTCATTAAAATCAAGCCAAAGAAGTAAACTGCAGATATCCTTCAGCTCCTGGAGCTAAAATCTGTGGTTAGATACAGTTTGAGTTTGGATACTATTAAACGTGGCAGAAGGGGGGGAGGGGGGGTAGAGAAGAAATTCTAGAGTAGCTTTATAAAAAGATAGTGGCCCTTTCCAAAACTGTAACCTGCAGTCTTTTTATTTAACAGACAGACAGTACAAAACAAAAGATAATAATGAAAGGAGTCATTTCCTTATGCTTACGCTGTAAAAACATTCCCAGCCTGTGGCAGCAGCCAGAAGCAATTGCATCTAAGGGTCTTAATGTATTTTCAGTGCAAATTTATCCTGGCTATTTATCCATCTCAGTACATCAATAATGCACAGAAATAAATAATGCACAGAAACAAATAATGATGAAAAATACACATGACATACAGACAGACATACATATTCAGGTGCTTCATATTTCATGGCAAGAAGTTATTAGTCAAATCCTTGTAGGCTTTTGAAATCACAGAAAAATGGCTTTCAACAAAATATTTCTAAAGAGAAACAACGATGATTAATACAATGCTGACTAGCACACTTTACCACCCTGGAAGCACAGCACTGAGAATGCTGCAAAACTATCAAATCAAGTGATTACTTTTCAAATAAAAACTGTTTCATCACAGTATTGTTATTAACGGCACACACCATACATCATACAATGTTAACTCTGAAAACGGGCTAAATAGTTTAAAAGGAAAAGTACAACTTCCACAAACATCCCAGGCATTTTTATTATTAACTACAGGGATAACCCTGCTACATTTTTATACCTAAAAGGAAAGGTTCATTGATAACCCAAGAGTCTAAATAGCAAAGTTAGTCCTGTATTTTTTTTAATAATTACCCTAAAGACAGAAGCAAGCTATCTTGAGCTTCCAAAATATTTCAATAGCACAGCTATTTACACATTTGGTTTAAATAGGATTATATATATCTCTCTCTATATAAAAAGATTAAGATACCTGGATTAGAAGTTATGTAGCCCTATAAGTGTAGCAGAACCCTAAACAACAGCAAAAAATAACAGTTCAGAAAAACACTAGTGGTCCAGCGGTAATCAATACCATCAATGCATTTTTAAAAGAACTGTGATTAGACAGTAGGTTTGTGTCACCACTCAACCTTACCGCTTCATCAACTCATTTTTAAAATGTAGCTGTCAATCTAACAAATTTCTTATAAGACTTCATAAAATTTCTGGAAGGCAACAGGACCTACCTTGTCCCTCTAACCCTCCCCAAATTTGAAGAAAGGCATAGGATGGCCTATATGCACCTTACCGATTTTGTTATACTTGAAAAAATAGGTACTAAAAAGGATATTGTCATGGCTTTAACAAAAACAGATGCGTAGTAAACATAGTAAAAGTCACAATAAGTTGACTGATTTAAATGATCGGCAACTTAAATATATATAGGAAGAAGACATCAAATTTGGAAGTGAACAGATATGCAGAAGGTTAGGTTTGTATGCATTTTCAGCTTGTTTTGCTGATACCATTCAGTACACTTCCCAGTCCACCACAGGGCAGCAGAAACTTTTTGCATTATTTTTAGCATTATTACCTCTTAATTTCAGATAGCTACCCAGGTCCACGGTCTCCCTTTAGCACCAATTTTGCCTTCCATTATCCTCCTTGTCTATTATTGATTGATCTATGCAACAGCAGTAACAACAGTTCCTGGAACTAAGACTGTGTGTCAATGAAAAGCAGAATGGGGCAAGTAAGGCTACAGCAATGTAAGTGCAAGAGGGAAACATCAACAGCAACAATAAGATCAAAACACATGTTGTGATGAGTCCAATCTTCTCAGTCTAGGTAGGTAGAGGGTCATCATCTCCTTTATTACATTTGCACTTGCAGCACAGAACAAATGGCGTAGCAAGGAGAAGGAAAGGGGAGGCCACCAAAAGCAGAAGACCAAATCCTGCAAAAATTCCTACCACCTGCAAGAGAAAGGAATAGCACTGTGTTAGGGATAGCAGTTGTCTAAATTCTGCTGACATCACGTCAGCATTAGTGCCCTTCAAAAAGATCTCAGCAAATGCCATTGATCTTACCAGAGCCAGGACTTCCCCCCAGTTGTACGCTACGGTCACCTCCTGCGATTAGTAACCATGAGTGATATCAGAGAGTGAATGCTCATGTTTCTTTGCTTCAGTCAGAACCATGCTGCACAACTCAGTCACATCACACAAAGTAATGCAGATAGTTATTTGCCTTTTTGAGTTTTGCTATATCTTAAACAACTAATGAAGCAACCAACAAGGTACTTTCTTCTTGATCAAACCTAAATATTAAATATCAGGATCAAGACTACAAGCGAATTAGAGACTCTCATTTCAAGGTGTTCCTTTTTTTTACTGGTGAAAACTCCAACGGTTTTCGTGTTGTTCACAATGATCCGTGAATACTCTCACAAGTTTCCCACCAGCAGGAAAACCAGCTTGGGAATCTCAGCCACCAGTTACAAACTCTATAGGAGGACTCTGCATACGCAATGGCTTTTTGCGGTCACATCTGAGCTCATCCAGCTGCTTCAGAGGATATGACCTAACTCTATCTAAAAGCATCTTTTTTCACTGACATTCAATAATCACCCTTTTCCCAGCATAGGCATAGGACCACAGACCCACCATCCTGTCAGTGCCAAGCTCTGTTAGTTTCCACAGTGTTTAAATTTGGAAAATTATTTAAAAAAATTAAAGTTGAGGTTCATTGCCTGAGGAAGTTTCCCATATGTCACAGGCAATTGTAACAGTAATGCTGCAACAATATGCCCACAAATTGATTGAGAAAATAATTTAGATTTATTCACATGAGAGTGTCTGTGAATAATTCTGAATAAAGAAGGCAGGAGTGGAATGCTAATCTGCCAGCAAAACCTCACAAGAGAAGGCAAAATGTTAGAGTGCAGTACTCATTAAGAATTCTTCTAGCCAGGGCTAGATATGCCGCTTCAATTAACTGGCAAATATTTAATTAGCCATGGTATAGATGGAATTATTTACTAGTATTTTTGTCAGCCACGGACAATTTCTCGTTCTGATTACTATGTATTTCTTTTTTCAATTCCACTATCCAGGGATTTTTGGACAGGGGCTGAAAGGAAAGGCCGGTTGCGGGAGATGGCGCTGTGGGACAGCAGTCACTGCTGCCTCCTACGAGCCAAATTCTTTCAATCTTCGCTTTTTGCTGTCCAGGGATAAGGAGATCAAACTTCCTTGCCCTAGAAGTGTTTTTTCTTGCCAAGAGCAATTTCTTTTTCAGCTTCAGAGGTGTGCACGTTTCACTGTTCATTCTTTTTACTGGAGGTGCTGACAATCTGATGCAACGTCCATTTACTAATCTCTGCTTTTATTTACTGCAGACATAAATCAGACCTAAATTCTCATCTCCTTTGCAAGCTGTGAGCTGCAACTACTGCCATACTGCTTTTTGGCGACAGTATGCTCTTGCCTAACTCTTTGCAGGCTGGGCTAAGAGTGCATTGGTCAGACAGAGCCAAGCTGGAAGTTAGCAATCAAGTGGACCAGACTGACTACTGGTAATTTTTATGAGATACCTATTTACACCTTCCTTCCAGCCTCAATGCATCATCAAAAAATTCATTAATTGTCATTTTATTTGGGTTTATTTATTTATGGGGAGAGGGGTTTGGTGCATTTTTTATTTCTTTTTTAAACAAAACTGCTTGCTGAGTACGACTCATGTTCTACTCGGTTTTGTTGCTTCTGAAGAAGTTGCTGCCCTACTCTCAGCGTCAAGCCATTCCCTTTGGCCAAAACAAGTATTTTTTTTTAAATCCACAAACAACAAACCAAATGCTCACTTCAGTTTACCTTGGATAAATACTCAAAAGAGACTTAACATAAGGAAACAATTGCAAAGTTGATTTAGCTTTAGTGGGTTTAGCAGAATTATATCCTGATTGGTAAAGAATTATCACTTTCTTTCTTAAAAATGACCAAAACATCAAGCATACTGTTCATCAAACATATCTGCACCAAATGCTGTGGCTAAGAACAGATTCCAAGTCTCAGATTAATCACCTCATATTATAGATATATCAAGGAAGCTTATGTAGCCACACACTTCCTAAGATACCATTGAGTAAGCCAAGCAAAACCCAGTCCATTGTTCAGCACCAAGGGGCATATGCAGAGGGAGAGGAATGCAATCCTTCACCTTTTATTTCAGTTTAGCTGCCTGTCCAGGCTTGGAGTTTGTTCTCTAGACTTGGTGTGTATAGCCAAATGGAAAGAAATCTGTATTTCAAGCAAAGCACTTCATCTCAAGCTAAGGTAGCTTTTTACTAGCATACAGTTAATTTAGGAAGAGGTCACTTGGATACCCAGATGTCCCTGTATCTCTGAAATGACTATGAAGGCACTAGATTGGACCAAGTCACACACTAGCATTTACATTGTATGCATAGAAAGTAATGCAGAGAGCTTTTTCATTACTAGCATTCATGCTGGGTCCAGCAAAACCGGACCCAGACAAGAGGTATCCCCACACTCTTTGTCAGCTTGAATCTGTGTTTGCAACTACTGATAAACTCAGAGGGTTACCTTCTATCCAACTTACATGAATGAGACAACTGGAGTCAATAACAAGATACCTAGCATACTTGGGCTAATTCATTTCCAGTTCTGAATCTGAAGCTAAAGATCCCTTCCATGATGAGCTTCCTGTTAATAATATGGATGGTGTCAACCTAGTTCATCCTCCATGTTTACTGAGAACGTATCTGGATTGGCACTTAACTGGCTCTGCAAACATACCCTTTCTAGTTCTCAGTGGCTTTCTGTCAAGGACTGTCCTCTCTGGGATAGCTAACCTCTCTAAGCTACTGCCCTCCTTAGAGCTGCTATGAAAATCAGTTACCATTTGGCACAAGAAATTTATCCTAAGGTATTAAAATGAGTATGGCAAGGGAAGGCACTATGACAGTAATAGACCTGTAAAGAGCTTTTAAAGATCTGAGGTTTACCTGCGTTCTGTGCCAAATAACTGATGCCCTGGAGTGGCCCAGCTTGTTTCGACAAGGTCCTTTGTCATAATGTATAAGGAGAAAATCATCCTACAAAATATTAAATGAAAAAGTAGGCAATAAACAGAAGTACAAACTCTTCAAGTTATAAAGTACTATTTCCTGAAAACTTATAACCAGGAATTGCACAGGAAGATAAAAGCTTAGTCAAGTGGATATGGTCAAGTCCAACCTTTCCAAAGGGCTTTGTTTACAGCTAAAGTGTCTTCACAAAAAGGTGTCTTTAGAGAATGTTATATATCTATAATGAATTCTTCTCCCAAAGGCTCTCAAGCTGCATATTTAAATGCTAGCATGGAGTTTAGCAAGAGGATCCAAGAAGATAAGCTGACCACTGCATATATCTTGCACACACACAGAAAGAGCAAAGGAAAAATACTTGTATCGCAGACTTCCCAAAGTTGGTTCCTTTTACTAGCTGAAGAAGAAATTGGTAATATAGAATTTTGATAAATGATGTCCCTATCTGACCTTTTACAGACCAGCCAAGACAGAAGGCGAAATACCAACAGAACACCGTTTTTTAACTGAGCACGTAAGAAGCCCGAGACTTAAGGACCGTAAAGCATTCAAATGGGACAAGCACTGGATCTGAATAGCTTTCGGGAGCCTAAAACATTTCCTTTGCTATTGTTAACAATGTTATAAAATAAAACAGATGGCATGGAAACAGATGTTGTATATTATATATACTCTGATCCTTGGGCATGATAACAGGCTGATTTTTAAAATAACATAAACATATGACAGCAGCAGGTTATAGACTGAGAAATTCCTAATGCTAGGAGAACACTGTATTCTTTTTCATATCTCAGATCTATTTCTTGTCCCACAGAATACAATGAACAGTAAACAAATCTGACTGCTAGTCCCCTGCATGGTGATGCACCGAATCTAGAGTTTGTCTGTTAAACTTCCACAGGCTAAGAACATTGTTATAATCATCCGGTAACTCCTTCAAGGAGGGGAACACTGGAAAGTCAGTATTAAGTGAAGTATTATAAACCAAAAAAAAACAACAAAAAACAAACAAACAAAAAAACAAACAAAAAACCAAACAAACAAAACCTCTCCCACATGTTAGTTTCCATGTAAAGATTGCAAACAGAATATTTTCATAAAATTTTACTTCTTCATAATTGTTTACTGACTCACATAGGCAAAATGCTGAAATCACACAGGTCAGACAAGTAAAACAGAGCATAGAAATCCTATCAAATTACCAGAATTAGCTCTGGTAGGTTGCAGTCCACCAAGTTGGGCAGAAGCTACTGAACTACTATTTAATTCATTAACAAGATAGCTAGATGGCAAAGCAATGAACTTCTAAGCTTCTGAGAACCAGAGTGCACGGCATGTACTCACATCAAGAGATTCCAGGCAGTACCAGCAAAAAGCATGTTTGCAGTTCTTACACATCATTTGGGCACAGCCTTCATCTCGTTCAATGTAAACTTTACACTTTGGACAGCGCTTGATTGGGGCATCATCTTCTTCCATTTTAAAAACTGAACTGTGGGACAGAATGAGGAATTAGTAAGACATGTGGCTGTGTCAGTTTAGTAAGAACTGTACTAAGAAGGTAAGCCTACTTTTTCACTTAAAAAAAATTTACTACAGATCCAGGTATTGAATTCACTTTCACTAATCAGATATTTTAGCTATACTCCATTTTTCAAACATACCTCAAGAAAAAAAAATGTTTAATGACTACAGTGCCTATGTAAGATTCAGGACATTTTCTTTACCACATAATTTGCCAACTGGTTTTGTTATCTATTAATAGATATTAGATAGTTTTCTCCTGTTCACACCTAAATGCTTTGTATGTCTAGATCATTTTCCTCCCTTCTTCCTCAGAAGAGGAAGCAATCCCTGAATGACACAAGAAGCCCAGACCACATTCCTTCAGACTGGGGCATGAGGGATAGATTGTTTGTCTCCTTAAGGATCCTCCCTAGGAATTTTCCACCATGTGGGGAACCATGAGGTTTGGAGAGCATGCTGTTCTTTCAGAGTTGATCTCTTCATCTCTAGCACTATCCTAACCAGTCACTGGTCATAAGTTATGGTAAGCACCACTTCTCCTCATCTTGCATGGCTGTGTGTCCTGGGTTCAGCAGTAGCAGTCATGTTTCTCCTTCGTGGTAGCTGGTGCAGTGCTGTGTTTTTATTTCCAGCCTGAGAACAGTGCTGGTGATACCGATGTTTTTGGTTGTTGCTAAGTGATGTTTACCCTGACCAAGGACTTTGTGAGGCTCATGCTCTGCCAGGGAGGAGGGGAAGCTGTGAGGAAGCAGAGACGGGGCGCCTGACCCAGACTAGCCAAAGAGGTATTCCATACCACTGCACGTCATGCCCGGGGTGGGCGGTAACTGGGAGTTACCCGGAAGGACACGGGCTTCTGGGTGGGACTCGTTTCTTGGCCAGTGGTATCGTATTCTCTTCCCTTGTTATTTTCTCTTATCATTGTTGTCATTGGTGGTAGCGGTGGTGATTTGTGTTGTACATTGGTTGCTGGACTGTTCTTGTCTCAACCCGTGGGAGTTGCACTCTTTCAATCATCCTCCCCAATCCTCTGGGAGTGGGGAAGGGGAGAGCCCCGGGGGGGGCCTCGATTGCTGTCAGCCCGGCACCACTCACTGGGAGTGAGTGAACAAGCTGTCTGGCTAGGGTTTAAACCACAACACTGTGCAAAACCACACGGTGTTCTTTTATACAGTGGGCACAACACAGAGCAATGTGGAAACACTGGAAGAACATTTATTTCCCTTGAGTATCTTTCTACCATATGCAGATTTTTGCACACTAACAACCAAGTTATACCTTAACAAATGACACTTCCAGCAGCTACTGCCAGTGGGAGATACAAGAACAACTGAGGGAAGCAAAAATTTGCTGAAAACAGGACTGACCCTTGATCGATTGCTTTGCCCAGTGGCAGGATAAAAGGACACACACTTGTTGGTCATGCTACAAGCAATGGTATTACAGAAAAATGCTCTGAAACCATAAACTGTATATGAAACTCCAAACACACAGTAGCTAATGGCACATTATGCTCTAAAATAATGGTAAAATAAACTTCAATGGAGTAAAAAATGAAGAATGAAATAAAACCTAAAAGCAACCAAAACACTAAGGAAAACAAAGTTTTTTATCTTGCCATGAAGTTTAGTAAGCTGCAGTTCTGGTCAAGCACACACAAAGCATGTGCAAAAGTTACTACATTTGACCAGGAACACATCATGACATCATCATAGTTAGTCATCTGTTACAGCAAAGCGTGAAAGAAGAAGGCAAGTTATGAATAGCCAGCTCCAAGGCTGGCCAAGCCCAGACATTACATGGTCCACATGCACAATGACCTTTCTGGCTTCGGTATGCCACTGGAAATGACTTGAAACGGATCTTAAAATTGTTAGCCAAATATGCAGCAGTTAGGATGACTGACAAGGTATTAAAAAAAAAAAATAAAAAAAATCACTGTCTGGCATGATTTTACCAACCTTCATGCTGTCCAGAATAGCAGCAGCAAGATTTTCTCTGAAGGGAAGCTCATGAGCTGCCTGGATGTTGTATTTTTTCCACTGGGGCAAAAGGGCAAAGGCTAAAGTAACTACTTAGTGCTTTGCTGGGATTCGTGGCAAGGAGTGAGGCTGCCAAGAGCTACCCAGTTTTGGAATACAGCATTAGAAGAACAGGAATGACTAAGTGAAGGAAAGCTGCTTTAACACAAGTATCAGGGAAATGCCTCTTTGCTATTCACATTCTGGTTTGTTCAAAGATGGAGTGTTTAATTTCTAAATAATTCATCTTTTTCAATACTTCACCTTGTTTCTCCTGGAAGAAAAGAGATTGGCATGTTCTCTTGACAGCCTTGACCTGGATGCCAATTAGATCTGCAAGCAGAGCAGAACTCAATGTCGCAAGCTTTGCACTGGACCAGCTGGGGATCCTGTGGGCTTGATTCCTGAAGATGGCAAACTGCCTGGCAAGTAGAGGATGGACACCAAGTCCGACATGGATCCAAAAGCACTTCTGCAAAGGGACATAAATGACCAAATTCAATGGTGGTTACAAGACCGGCCTTCTGTAACAATATATTCCAGCTGAGGTTGACTGGCAGGGCATTTGAAGACACGCATTTTCAAAAGAAGCCCTTTAATTTATGCTACCCATTGAAGACATAAATCTGGCCTACTCTGCAAACAGGCACCAAACTGAAGTGGGTTTCCCAAGTTTGAATTGCCCCCTTTCATTAACTGAACTGAACTTGCTCTGAGAATGAGATGTTGCATTTTTCTTCAGTTGAATCTCAAGTTAAATAGAGCATATACTATGCAGGTATAACCCATCAGAAAGTGTTTTTACAGTGCCTTCCCTATGAGGACTCTATTTCAAGTTGGCCTCTGCCCTAATGTAACCATATGATTAACAATAGCATAAGACTGTTACAATTTCAGCCCTTTCTTGGAGGCTACTTTCTGGCAAGTCATTGCATGTTTCAAAGCCCGCTGATGTCAATAAAAACTTACCGATGACTTCAGTGGTTTCTAGGCTGGGTGTTGCCCTCAGCAAACCTTACTGTAAGTTCTCAATAGCCACACAGTTCCACATCTCCATAGGCACACAGTCATCTTATATCCTCATACAAATTAACAAGGTTCATTTTATACACACAGAAGTGCTTCGCAATTCTGCACCAGATGGCATAACAGGATATAACGGTGGTTCCATAAAAGGGGTCAGTCTACTTCCCCAGCCCCTGGAGTGCTGGTAGGCAACTTAAACAGCAAAACTAGAAAAAGAAGTCACTCCTCCCCCTATAGAGCAATATAATAATTTTCTTTCCTTAGTTCATTCCCAGAATGCTGCAGTTCTGGGAATCATCCAGTCAAGAACAGAATCAATTGTAGGTTTTTTTTTGTTGTGGTTGGTTGTGGTTTTTGCCACTGTTTTGTTGTTGGTGGTTTGTTTTGTGATGACCAAATGATTAATGCATAATGCTACTTAATGCGCATGAGCAGAGCTAGATTCTGATTTATGGGATCGTTCTGGAGTGATACAACTCCCACAGCCTTGCAGTGGGTAGTGTTACATGCGTTACCTCTTTCAAACTGCAGCTTCTTGTACCTTTGCATGATTTCTGACGCAACCATGCACTCAATCTGTTGAGGGAAAAGGAAAAGACAAATTTCCAATTCGGAACAGTAATAATCTAAGGCATTTTCAACAAACAGAGACAAAATATGTGACATTTCGAGGGTATTAAAAATGTATGTTGGCAACAATGGCAGCTGTAACACTTGCAGTAAAAGCATACCTCATTTTCTTGCAGATGTCCTCGCTTTGGGCAGGCAGCATCAGGGCAACTGATTGCTGTTTCTAGACCTTCTTTGATCAAAAGCTCCACATACTGTTTTAGGCACTGTAAGAAAGTCAAAGACTGAGTTAACAGTCCTACCAAGAATAAACCAGTGACTATTTTAACCACTTTCATTTGAAATGGGAATTCTTTGAAAATACAACTACTACTGTCCCCCTTTCACAGCCATGGGCCATGCTCACAGCTTTTGCCACAGTTATGCCTTTAAATGGCAAACAGCAAGTTCATTTCCACATCAAATAACTCTTCCTCAATTTAAAATATGCAGCAAACTAAAAAATAACAGTAATGGGGAAAAGGATAAATCAAACAGGGAGCTAGGAGGGGAAAAAAAAAATAATAAAACACCACCACGATAAAATTAGATTAACCACACTCCAAAAATCTTTATGTGACTGGAAACCACAACACAGCTTAGTAAGCAGTAATTATCCATAGACAGACATCTGTCAAGCATACCAGGGAGCAAAAAGGAGTAGTGCATCTTCCCTTCTATTTCTAGAAAATAACTATCTGAACCTCATGGTTAAAGACATATCTTTTCAACAGGAAAGAAAAATGTGAGAATTAGGACTTCCAGAGAGCTACAGTTTCCATGGGGACCGAATAATAAATATTGGTAATACTAATACTTTTCTCCCCTAGCAACCATAGCAATTTACCCAAGTCATAACTGAAAATGTAGCATCTAACAGTAGTGCACTGCAGGACCATCAACAAAATGGAGAATAAAGGTAGAAATTTTAGACTAAGTGCAAATTAATACCAAACCTCATTATTCTTATAGAGCAACCATCCCCTTCCACCTCCACATTTCCCACATCATGGTGGGAGCTGCTGCATAAGTGTCTGTTGGGGAGGCAAAGAGAGTGATGAGGAGACTAGCCTGACGCTACACAGAGAGAGCAACTGAGCGCCTGCTTTCCAGCAGATGGGTCACCCTGTAGTGCTGTCACCCTGCCTGTCAGTTCAGCTAGCTGTGGCAAACTAGAGACAACTACAGAAAGTAAGCCCCTAACTCTCTGTTACCAGATATGTGAATAAAAAGTGAGGCTAGACCAACAGCAGAGTGATTTGAAGATACAAAACAAGCTCAGGATACAGCTGGGTGGGAGGTGAGAAGGATTACACACTGCAGCAAGCTGGCAAACCAGGGACTTCAATTACCCTTTTCAGACAGAACTTGCAAAAGGTATGCAGCTGCTGACTCACCATCATAGAATCATAGAATAGTTAGGGTTGGAAAGGAGCTTAAGATCATCAGCCTGAGTAGGCAAAGAGCTACATCCACCTTGCCGAGTGCAGCGTGCCTCACTGAAGGTCAGAGCACAAAGCCACTTCTTCCTTCCAGCCACACCATCGAACAGGCCCATCAATGAGCACATCCCCAGCCTAACCCTTTGCATGTGGCTTGTGGCTGTAAGGTCCAGACTTTCAGTCTGCTCATTCAGCCTCTTCTCTTTCTGTTCTGCCTGTTGGATGTCTATTCATCTCCTTTCAGAGCCCCTATTACCTGTATTAATGCTTTATTCTAGATTTTACCTTTTGCAGCTTGACTGCAGCAAAAACTTCGCTTCCTACCCACACGTTTTCTGGTGCTCTAGTATACAGCTTTTCTGGTGGCAACATGCTACCACCTTAACAGCACACTAAATCACGTCTGTCAGAGTCCCCTTCCCTGTGTCTCCTACTCAACTGAGACAGCAGGTCTATTTCTTAATTTATTTTTTTTTTAGAAAAGCAGATACCTGATAATAGGTATCTTAAAAAGCATTATGTGTGTAAAAAAATCCACGTGCCAGATAACAGTCTTCCTTTTTATCAGTAGGGATTTAATGAAGAGAATTATTCACTTAGAGGTTTGACTTGCAGAAGGTTTCCAAGGCTCATTTATAGCTCTACAGGGCAGGTAGTAGAGCAAGTTAAGAGAACCACTAGCAGCAGCAACCACAGCAGGCTAAGCTCTGCAAGAACCAGAGCCTAGGTCACATGCATTGGCAAACTGATTTCAGCTGTAGAGAGGTATTAGTGTTGCTATAATGACAGTATTGGCTTTCCCTTTTCCCCTCCATTTGCAGACACCAAGCATGGATTAAAAGGAAAATGCATACATTTTTAATGCCAGCACTTAGCACTTACAGAAAGTACTTTTCAAGCTGAATGAGCTTTGTCATCATTAATCATTAACGTGGTTTATTCTCCTTTTCAACCTGTTTGGGACCACTTCCAGAACCTATTTGATTTGTTTCCCTTTCCCCACATCTTCCAAGGAATGACACAGTTCATCCCTGCTATAAGCACTGTCTAAGGCCTTCCCCTTCCCCATATGTGGCACTGGCCCCTACTTCCTCAAAACCAGCACGGCCAAATGCACTTCTTATGCTACACCTTCTGGGAACGCAGATGCTATCTCAAGGGCAGGAATTATCTCTCTAAATTAGGCAGAGGAAAAAAAAAAACACCCTGTCCACTTAAGACTCTCACTCCAGAGAATTCTTGGGTGAAGAAGGAGCAACCCAAAGTGGTTGCAGGAGAATCTGAAGCACAGGGTACCTGTGGCTTCTCTTGGGAGCAGACACAAGATGTACCACTTGTGCCAGTAAATTTTAAACTGGCACCAGCATGCAAGCAAAAATATAGTAGGATCAGTTACTCAGGTATACACTGTGAAAAATTCATTTCAAAAGAGCTACAAAAACATGACAAATAAATTGTTGCTTATTTTCTATGCAGCTTATAGTTGATCCCATCCTGGAAGAAAATATCTTTATACCCTTCCATTAAGGCAATAAAGCAGTACACAGGATGAACAAAAAATGTGAGACTGTAAGTCACTCCAAACAACTTTCAAAATGAACCGTGTGACATGTTTTTTTTTTTTTCAGAGAAAACAGGAGCTGAAATTAGGTACCTAAGGTCTGAAGTAGGAATAAGGTCACAAGATACCTTTCTTGTTGCACATTGACCCTTTATAAAACCATTATGCTGGGGAGCATCTTTAGACTTCCTTTAAAGGACCTGTGCCAATGGAAAGTTGCTTTTATTTGAAGCAATACTTCTGCTAAATTCCACTTCTTCCTTTCTTAAAAAAACTCCATAACCTCATTGTATTTCAGTAATTAAATAAGTAAATAATATTTAAAGTAAGTCACACCTGGATATACTCTAAACCTGTCAAAAACTAATGGTGGTTATTCTGTACATTTCCACTTCTGTGCTTAATCTGACATGATGAAACCAGGGTAAGACTTTAGCATTGCACAAAAAAAAAAAAAATAACTCTGTGCTGAATTAAGTAGTTCATAAGAGGAAGAAGCATTTCCTTTGCACTTAGTTTTATACTTCATTTCTGTACTCTAACAATCTTCACTTGGAACAGCGAAGACCTGTCTAAAGGGATGGAGCACCTCTCCTATGGGGAAAGGCTAAGAGAGTTCGGACTGTTCAGCCTGGAGAAGAGAACACTCCAGGAAGACCTTATTGTGGCCTTTCAGTTCTAAAAGAGGTTTATAAGAAAGATGTCATTTTATGACAACTGTTAGGCAATTACTCTGGTTTATGCTGCAGCTGCAATAAGTGAACAGGTAATGGCAGTAGTTTCAGCATACCAAATGACTCAGGGTAGCGGAAGAACAATTATCATATGATGGAACCCTAGGACTACCAAGATTGTTTGGTTCCTTAACTATACAGATCTATACACCAACATCCATTTTACAACTTCATATATTTTTAAATTAAAAGGATATGTCAACATACCACCGTATATGAAGGTTATACTGGGAATCCCATAAAAACTTCCATATAGCTTATAATTTTCTGTAGACAAAGGAAAGCAAAGCACTACACAATATATGTTACATATAAACTATATGAAGACTATATAAACTATATTTCAAACTTAATATAAGATTATATAAACTGCAGGTCAAAATGTATCACAAGCTCCAACTACTGCCAAGATCAGTCTGCAGAGACTGGTTAGCCCCCCTGAGCATTACACCTGTATTTTTCCCTGCATGTGCACACTCTCTGCATGCCTGCCCTGTTCTCCTCTGGCACATCACTATTGTCTTTTCTGGTGTCTGGATAACTTTTTCTTTCACCTTGTACTCCAAGAATCCTGCTGTCCTTTGCTATCCCCGTGACAAAGCGCAGGAGTACATCCACTTTGAGAAGTTTTGGCCCAGATCAACTGAGATCCCAACTCAGCGGCAGTTTTACTATCAGCTACCTATATACATTAGGAACATCCAAGTTTTTTTGCTATGGCCTCAGAGACAGATGGCTAATAAAGGAATGACTTCCTTTCTGAAGCTGCCAACCATAGCCTAATACTTAAAGCTTTGCAAGATGTGTTGTACTTCAAACCCCGGTACATCAAGGATTGTGCCACGCAGAAAGGTATATTCAATGACCACTGATGATGGTCTGTTGCTTTAGAGCTGCACATCATTTTGCCTATCGCTATAAAGGTCAAAATACCTTGTGAAAATCAAAATAATTATTTTTTTCATAATTTCCAAACTATAACTCGTAATGTTACTCTGCTGCATTCAACTCTAACAAATCTGCATAGGCCACAGCAAAATCTCAATATAAACAATTAAAATGGCTGGCTTTTAATTTTCTGTTTGGAGAATTTGACCAACAATTATGCCTATTTCTGATGATAGTGCTTTGACTTATTCCTCCTGACACCCAAAACCAAATAAAAACCATCATAATTCATACAAAGGAATTTATTGTTTCCACATGAAGCAATATTTATCTACCATCTACTTTGAAAGAAAAACGCGCTCACTTGGTGCCTAAGGTAATTTTACAATACAGAATGCACATAATTAAAAACACTTGAAGATATTTTTAATCAACATCTCCCTTTTTTAACTAGAAGAGCATAACTTTTTGAAAAGTTGCAACAAATTTACTTTAAGACCATGTTATTGCTATTATTGCAGGAGACAAGGAATGGTGTTTCAAGATATCACCTTTTATTTGAGAGTCAGGAAGGCAAAAAATAGTCCTGTATTATTTAACTG